GAATTCTCTAAGAACCAGCCAGCTGGACCACCAGAAGGAGCCCTGCTAACAAATGTTTTGTTCCAACAAGCCTGCCTAGGCATGTAATTTTAGCATGCAATATTAACACGTTATTCCAGTAAGTCTAAATGTTTTAAAATTACTGATGATATATATTTTTAAAAATCATACGTAGCTCATTTTCAGTGTTTGCTCTTTATGGTATTTTTAATTAATATCTTAGACTGCTGTACTGTAAACCCCTTAGAGGTCTTATGTTCTAGTATAGAATTGTAAAGTTGGAAGGGACCATGAGGGTCATCTAGTCCAACCCCCTGCAATGCAGGAATCTTTTGCCTGATGTGTGGATCGAACCCATGACCGTGAGATCGGGAGTGCCAATATCTACTGCCTGAGCTACCCCAGCTTATGCAAAATAGGAAGTGATACGTATGTCTGTACGTACATACATATATATATATACATACATATACATATATATACATATGTGATGTATGGATGTGAGAGCTGGATCATAAAGAAGGCTGATCACCGAAGAATGGATGCTTTTGAATTATGATGCTGGAGGAGACTCTTGAGAGTCCCATGGACTGCAAGAAGATCAAATGTATCCATTCTGAAGGAAATCAGCCCTGAGTGCTCACTGGAAGGACAGATCCTGAAGCTGAAGCTCCAAGACTTTGGCCACCTCATGAGAAGAGAAGACTCCCTGGAAAAGACCCTGATGTTGGGAAAGATGGAGGGCACAAGGAGAAGGGGACGACAGAGGACGAGATGGTGGGACAGTGTTCTCGAAGCGACCAGCCTGAGTCTGACCAAACTGCGGGAGGCAGTGGAAGACAGGAGTGCCTGGCGTGCTCTGGTCCAGGGGGTCACGAAGAGTCGGACACAACTAAACGACTAAACAACAACAACAAAGGAAAAGTGGGACATTCTGGGATCAAATCAGAAACCGGGACGGCTTCTGTAAATCCAGGACTGTCGGACACGACTAAACAACTAAACAACAACAAATACATATCCATATACAGTGGTGCCCCGCAAGACGAATGCCTCGCAAGACGGAAAACCCGCTAGACAAAAGGGTTTTCCGTCGCGGAGGCGCTTCGCAAGACGAAGTTCCCTATGGGCTTGCTTCGCAAGACGAAAACGTCTTGCGAGTCTCGCCATTTTTTTTTCACTTTTTTTCGCTCCCCCCCCCCTTTTCAAAGCCGCTAAGCTGTTAATAGCCTTTTAACAGCTTAGCGGCTAAGCCCGTTAAGCCGCTAATAGCGCTAAATCGCTAATAGCGCTAATCCGCTTAGCCGCCAATGGGGTTGCTTCGCAAGACGAAAAAAACGCTAGACGAAGAGAATCGCGGAACGGATTCTTTTTGTCTTGCGAGGCACCACTGTACATACGCACACACATATATGAATAAAAAATATAATAAAATCTATAATTATTTGAGTACAGGAGAACCTTTCCATTTATATTTGCATTAATGAAGAAATAAGTTTTCTTTAAAAACCAGAAATTAAAGCACACAGCCATATGAAGCTCTTAATCATTTCTAGTTACGGTGGTACCTCGGGTTACATACGCTTCAGGTTACATACGCTTCAGGTTAGCCGTTAATCCAGAAATAATGCTCCGTTAATCCAGAAATAATGCTTCAGGTTAAGAACTTTGCTTCAGGATGAGAAGAGAAATCGTGCTTCGGCGGCAGCAGGAGGCCCCATTAGCTAAAGTGGTGCTTCAGGTTAAGAACAGTTTCAGGTTAAGAACGGACCTCCGGAACAAATTAAGTACTTAACTCGAGGTACTACTGTGCAAAGAATTTTCAGCAGGACATTTTCCGTGTCACATGTCTAGACAACTCTTGCAATAAGTTGCTCCGTGCTAGTCAGTAGTATTGGCCGACGATAATAAGCTTCTGTGTCCAAACGTCAGTGATTATTTTAATAAAGTTTTGGAGAATCTTACCAAGTGAAGATAATAACCCAGCTGCATTGAAGATCTGGCTCACATGCTAAACTATCTCATTGTCTAAATATTCCCAAGATATCAGCAAGGAGGCAGGCATCTTTCTTCTAAATAATATGATTTCTAAACTTATGAATTCACTTTTGAAGATTCTCAACTCAGGTCTTAAAAATAACCTCAGTACAGGGGTCCCTTGCTTCTCAAACTTAATCTGTTCCGGAAGTCCATTCTAAACCAAAGTGTTTCAAAACCATAGGCGGACCTTCCCAATGGATTGGATCCATTCTGGAGGTCCAGTCAGATCCTGAGTTTTCCGCAACCTGAGGACTGCTTTTGTGCATGCGCGCGCAGCGAAACCTGGTAAAATACTTCCAGGTTTGCCACGCACGCATCCCAAAGTTTATGTAACCAGAGGGTTACGTAAACGGAGGTACTACTATAATGCAAAATGGATTAATCCCTTCCAGACTTTTAAAAACAACCCCTGAAAAAGCAATTTAACATGAATTTTGACTATCTGACGAGACAATTGATCCATAAAATGAAGGCAATAAACAATGTACTGCAGTCATACAGTCAATCAAACAGTAGCTGAACTGGGTTCCACAGCCGCAAAAACGCAAAATAAATAGCAAAAACAGACCACAGCATAACATTGAAAACAGAACAGAAGTGTGGCACTCAAATCGGAAACGTAACCCTCAAAATGGAGAACGTTCAACTTACGAAAAGAGTTCGCAAACCGGAACACTTCCTTCTGGGTTTGCTGTGTTAGGGTTCCAAGTTGTTTGAGTACCAAGATGTTTGAGAACCAAGGTACAGTGGTACCTCGGGTTACATACACTTCAGGTTACATACGCTTCAGGTTACAGACTCCGCTAACCCAGAAATAGTGCTTCAGGTTAAGAACTTTGCTTCAGGATGAGAACAGAAATCGTGCTCTGGCGGCACGACAGCAGCAGGAGGCCCCATTAGCTAAAGTGGTGCTTCAGGTCAAGAACATTTTCAGGTTAAGTACGGACCTCCAGAACGAATTAAGTACTTAGCCCAAGGTACCACTGTATCACCTTTTACCACTATCCTCATCGTGACTTAAAACACAGCCAGGCCATTTTGTTTTCTCAATTTGGATCGGTGTTGCTTTGCAGGGAGGGGGAAATGCAACAAGACACTGTATTTCCTAAGAAATGACCAGATAGATATGGATTGTGGCATCACGTGTACACATCTTCCTAAACCAATGGCAGAAGTGCAGTGTGAATGGCAGTGTGTACATAGCCATCCATATATTCAGTTTGTTGTGGCTGGACATTCTTGGCAAAAAAATTATCAAGCATCGTTTACTGACCTATGACCAAACTTTAAATACCACACCCTCCAATATTTCTCCAATGAATATAGGGATGTCCCATTCAATAGCAACAACAATAACAATAACTTTGTTGTTGTTGTTGTTGTTGTTAAGTTGTAGGTGAACATATCAGGCGACACAGCGATTCTTCAAACAGCTTTTGTTTATTCACAGACCCAGGACAGAACTGAACTGAAGGGTTCAGCCAGCCTGCTAATATAGAGCTCCACTACAACGCAACAGTAACAACTTTCTGTAACTATCCAATCACTGAACGTCACTTTCAATTCCTTATTTGCATATGTGGACCTGAGTGAAAACTATCTACAGTATCCCACTGCTGGCCCAGGGTGAGAACTTCAGTACACAACAATTAATTATTATTATTATTACAGTGGTGCCCCGCAAGACGAACGCCTCGCAAGACGGAAAACCCGCTAGACGAAAGGGTTTTCCGTTTTGGAGGCACTTCGCAAAACGAATTTCCCTATGGGCTTCCTTTGCAAGACGACAGCCCATAGGGAAATCTCCAGGACAGCGGGGAAGCGCAGCGCGTCTTCCCCACTGTCCTCGGACCTCCTCCGAAGCCTGGCGGCGGGGCGGGAACACCTCCTCCCACCGCTGCCGGGCTTCGGAAGGCTCCTCCGAAGCCGGGCGGTGGGGCGGGAACACCTCCACCCGCCGCCGGGCTTCGGAAGGCTCCTCCGAAGCCGGGCGGAGGGGCGGGAACACCTCCTCCCACCGCCCGGCTTCGGAACGATGCTCCGAAGCCGGGCGGCGGGGCGGGAACACCTCCCCCCGCCGCCCGGCTTCGGAACGATGCTCCGAAGCCGGGCGGCGGGGCGGGAACACCTTCTGAAGGCGGGCGGGGGGCAAAAGTCTTTGTTCCCCCCTGCCTGCCTTCCCTGCTATCGTGGATGGCTTTTGAAGGCAGGCGGGGGGGGGGGAGCAAAGACTTTTGCCCCCCGCCCGCCTTCAGAAGAGGTCCTGGATTGCAAGAAGATCAAAACCTATCCATTCTTAAGGAAATCAGCCCTGAGTGCTCACTGGAAGGACAGATACTGAAGCTGAGGCTCCAATATTTTGGCCACCTCATGAGAAGAGAAGACTCCCTGGAAAAGACCCTGATGTTGGGAAAGATGGAGGGCACAAGGAGAAGGGGACGACAGAGGACGAGATGGCTGGACAGTGTTCTCGAAGCTACCAGCATGAGTCTGACCAAACTGCAGGAGGCAGTGGAAGACAGATGTGCCTGGCGTGCTCTGGTCCAGGGGGTCACGAAGAGTCGGACACGACTAAACGACTAAACAACAACAACAAAGGAAAAGTGGGACATTCTGGGATCAAATCAGAAACCGGACGGCTTCTGTAAATCCAGGACTGTCCCTGGAGATTAGGGACGCTTGGAGGGTCTGAATTACATCCTGAACGATAAACTGATCACCCGCCAAATTCTAGATAAATCCTATCCCTTATTGGGAGATGAATCAAATCCAGTTACAGCCATTCCAGAAGAGGCAAAGCACCTGTACATTCTGACTGATGACACTCCCAGGGGTTGATGGGAATTGTAGGCACAAGGTGAGGAAAGGCTGGCTTCAGCTGCACTGAAAACCACCTTGAAGCAATGTGTGTTAAAGCACAATGCCCGTTCTTTTTCCAAGGGAAAGAGCTGTGGCCTTACCTGAATTCTGCAGGTTTCCTCAGCTTCCTGTTGCTGGGACTCAGTTGGCTCTTTTGGGCTTGCACTGGGGGTAAGTGGTCCGAACCAGGTTGGTTTTTCCTCTAAAGGGAAGGTGGGATAGGAAAAGAAGCTCTCGTTAAATCTTTTTTTAAAAAAAAAATTATTATTATTATTTTTTACATAATCTTTTTTTTCAACAATCCATACATCCATCAAAATATAACCCTTTTGCTCTGCCGAGCTATGACTTCCCTCCATCCCTTCCACTGGTATCCTTTATCACATTTTTTTCGCGTATTTTATACTCACATCTTATCTGTTTTACATTGTAGGAGCCACTTCAGTCCTGCTAGTGTTTTTAAATTTTTACAGCTGTCTTTTAGATACGCAATAAATTTACTCCAATTGTGAAGCTCTGGTTAAATCTAAAGCAGGGGTAGGCAACCTAAGGCCCGGGGGCCGGATCAGGCCCAATCGCCTTCTCAATCCAACCCACGGATGGTCTGGGAATCAGCGTGTTTTTACACGAGTAGAATGTGTGCTTTTATATAAAATGCATCTCTGGGTTATTTGTGGGGCCTGCCTGGTGTTTTTACATGAGTAATAATAATAATCTTTATAGCGGTCCAACGACCCATAACATGGATTCAGAATAAAATACAGATTTATACAGACAACCCCCCAGGGACAGGAACTTACATGAGTAGAATGTGTCTTTTTATTTAAAATGCATCTCTGGGTTATTTGTGAGGCATAGGAATTCGTTCATTCCCCCCGCCCCCCAAAAAATATAGTCCAGCCCACCACATGGTCTGAGGGGTGGTGGACCGACCCACGGCTGAAAAAGGTTGCTGACCCCAGATCTAAAGGCTTGGTATGCTGTTGTACAGGGACAGAAGTAGCAGCAGATACAGATGTAGAAACTGTGCTGTGTGGAAGCAGCTACGGGCATGCGAGATTCCAGAAATCGTAAATCACCGGGGTTGGAGGAGGAGGAGAAGAGACCGGAAGCAGAAGAGAGGCTGTAGAGGACAAGGTCAAATGAAAGAGAGAATAAAGATAAGGAAGATAAGGAAACAACGATGTAAAGTACCTCTTCCAAGTATCTTTTACGCTAATGTGAGATCATTGGCTGCCAACAAAGGTCCGTATAGTTCAAGCTATGGTTTTCCCAGTAGTGATGTATGGAAGTGAGAGCTGGACCATAAAGAAGGCTGATCGCCGAAGAATTGATGCTTTTGAATTATGGTGCTGGAGGAGACTCTTGAGAGTCCCATGGACTGCAAGAAGATCAAATCTCTCCATTCTGAAGGAAATCAGCCCTGAGTGCTCAGTGGAAGGACAGATCCTGAAGCTGAGGCTCCAATACTTTGGCCACCTCATGAGAAGAGAAGACTCCCTGGAAAAGACCCTGATGTTGGGAAAGATGGAGGGCACAAGGAGAAGGGGACGACAGAGGACGAGATGGTTGGATAGTGTTCTCGAAGCTACCAGCATGAGTTTGACCAAACTGCAGGAGGCAGTGAAAGACAGGAGTGCCTGGCGTGCTCTGGTCCAGGGGGTCACGAAGAGGCGGACATGATTAAACAACTAAACAACAACAAGAGATCATTGGCAAATAAACTTGATGAATGGAGGCTTCGTGTAGGAGTGGAGGAAGACATCCGGGATTGTTCTGCGCTGATACTCACAGAGACATGGTTAAATTCAGCTATTCCAGACACAGCTGTTGAATTACAAGGTTTTACAACGTACCGGTTGGACAGGACACAGGATTCTGGCAAGAAACAAGGTGTGCGTGTGTGTATATATTTTTGTAAATCAAAACCGGTGTACGGACTCTGTCAAGTTGGATACCTACTGTTCTCCAGAGGTGGAATTTCTGACAATTAAATGCAGACCTTTCTATCTTCCCCGGGAATTTACAACAGTGGTGTTAACAGCGGTGTACATAGCACCAACTGCAAATGCATGCAGGGCCATGAGTACTATGCATGAAAACATCAATGCTAAATTGAGCAGATACCCGGAGGTGGTGCACATTATTGCGGGGGACTTCAATCACACAGATGTGAGGGCAGTACTCCCAAAATTCCATCAGCACATTGAGTGTGCAACAAGGGGAGAAAACACTCTTGACAAGGTGTATACGAACATTAGACGGGCATATGAGGTCAAGACCTTGGCGCACCTCGGTGGTTCAGATCATGTGTCCCTGCTTCTGACACCAGTATACACACCCCTCAGGAAACAAGGCCAGATACAAACACGGATGGTTACTGTTATGTACTGAAGTTCTCACCCTGGGCCAACAGGGGGATACTGTAGATAGTTATGCAAATGAAGGATCGAAAGTGATGTTCAGTGATTGGATAGTTTTGTATGCAAATGAAGGATCGAAAGTGACGTTCAGTGATTGGATAGTTTTGTATGCAAATGAAGGATCAAAAGTGACATTCAGTGATTGGATAGTTTTAGAAAGTTGCAACAGTTACATTGTTCTGGAGCTCTATATAAGCAGGCTGACTGAGCTCCTCAGTTAAGTTCTGTTCCAGCTTACAAATAAAGAGCTGCTTTGGAAGAATCGCTGTGTCGTCTGATATGTTCGTCCACAACTTAACAGTTACGGTGTGGCCTGAAGGAGCCTCTCAGCAACTGCAGGACTGTTTCCAAGAGACCGAGTGGAATATGTTCGACCATCAAGATCTAGAAACTTATACATCAACGGTCCTGGATTATATTAGATTCTGCACAGCAAATGTCACCAGGGAAAAGTATGCTAAGTTGTATCCGAATAGGAAGCACTGGGTGATGGGAGAAGTTAGGAGATTATTGAAGGCCAGAAACTCTGTTTTTAGAACTGGGGACCGGGTATTGTATGGTATAGAAAGAGCGAACTTGAAGAGGGGTATCAGGAAAGCAAAAGCAGAGTACAGAGGAAAAATTGAGGACCATCTGAGAAATCATGATACTAGACAAATGTGGCAGGGAGTCCAACATCTGATCAATCAAGGAATTCATCAGTGGTAGAGAGTACTGCTTCCTTGGTGGGAGAGTTGAATACCTTCTTTGCCCGATTTGAGGTGACACCAACAGTGACTCCAACAAGGATGCCAGAGCTATTGGCGTCACTGCCTACAGGAAATGCTGCCAGGGTGGAAGAGGGAGAAGTGAGGCGAGTATTAAAGGAGGTAAACACGAGGAAGGCTATGGGCCCGGATGGGGTGGCTGGCAGGGTGCTAAGAGATTGTTCGGACCAACTGGCAGGAATCTTTACGAAGATTTTTAACCAGTCTCTGGCCCAAGCCACTGTTCCACCCTGTCTGAAATCCGCTACCATTATACCCCTGCCAAAAACATCAAAGATAGACAGTCTGAATGATTTCCACCCTGTGGCGTTGACACCCATTATAATGAAATGTTTCGAAAAACTGGTGAGGAACCACATCCTATCTTGTCTGCCAGTGGGACTTGACCCTTACCAGTTTGCGTACAAGGCAAAGAGATCCACAGAAGATGCTGCGGCAATGGATTTACATGCTGTCCTGACTCATTTGGAGAAGCAAGGGAACTACACGAGACTGTTATTTGTAGACTTCAGTTCTGCATTTAATACTATTCTTCCGCATAGATTGGTGCCCAAATTATTAGACCTGGGACTTCCACCATGTTTGTGCAGGTGGATATTAGACTTTCTATCAAACCGTTCCCAAAGGGTCAGGTTGGGTTCCCACGTCTCTGCGGATCTCATCATGAATACGGGGACGCCACACGGGTGCGAGTTGAGCCCGCTTTTACATATGCTCTATACAGCTGACTGTGCCCCCAAATACCCCAGTAATAAGATCATTAAGTTCGCAGATGATACAACGGTGGTTGGTTTAATTACAGCTGGAGAGGGGGAGGCGGCCTATAGGAAGGAAGTTGAGCAGTTGGGGGAGTGGTGCAGGAAAAACAACTTACTCCTTAACAATCAGCAATCCCTCTTGCTGTGCTGGCTTCTGGGATAGCTGCGCAGCCTGCATTCGCTCCATAAGACGCACACACATTTCCCCTTACTTTTTAGGAGGGAAAAAGTGAGTCTTATAGAGCAAAAAATATGGTACTTTTCTTTTCCTTACGAACTTGTGGAGTTATGAGAGAGGAAGAAAGAGCTTTTCTTTTCTCTATCTCCTTTCTCCATGCCAGGCACAATTTTATAAACTTCTGTCGTGCAGTCAGGACTACAAACCCCATCATCCCACAGCCAGTGTGACTTGTGGTCAGGATAATGGGATTGGTAGTCCCACAATATATAGGGATCTGGGATTAGGGAAGGCCGGTTTAGAGCAGGCGTAGGCAAACTCTGGCCCTCCACATGTTTGGGACTACAATTCCCATCATCCCTGACCACTGGTCCTGTTAGCTAGGGATGACGGGAATTGTAGTCCCAAACATCTGGAGGGCCGGAGTTTGCCTATGCCTGGTTTAGAGACACCTTTTGTGGAAAGGTCATGCCGCAGAGTTCCCTCCTTGACCCCAATAATAATAATAATAATAATAATAATAATAATAAATTTATACCCCGCCCATCTGGCTGGGCTTCCCCAGCCACTCTGGGCGGCTTCCAACCAAATATTAAAATACAGTAATACAGTGGTACCTTGGGTTAAATACTTAATTCGTTCGGGAGGTTCTGCTCTTAACCTGAAACTGTTCTTAACCTGAAGCAGCACTTCAGCTAATGGGGCCTCCTGCTGCTGCCATGCCGCTGGAGCACGATTTCTGTTCTCATCCTGAAGCAAAGTTCATAACCTGAAGCACTATTTCTGGGTTAGCGGAGTGTGTAACCTGAAGCGTATGTAACCCGAAGCATAGGTAACCCGAGGTACCACTGTACATCAAATATTAAAAGCTTCCCTAAATGGTGTCAGAAGTGGGGGAAATCCCCTTTTCACTTTAAGCAAGGTATGCGTGTCGGAGAACCAACTTACCCTGATGTCTTCAGGGAAAAACTGGAAAGGTGTTGAAAGCTGCTGTCCGGATATGAAGAGGGGAAGTGGGTTGTTAGTCACAATCAAGGCAGTTTTGTCTTGATTGAACTCCGAGGACCTTAGCATGATGGCGATCTCTCCCTTGTGTTGTTCGAGCCGCTCTTGAAACTGAGCGTCAGTGAATGGAAGGAAGTATTGGACCTACCCCAGGAGAGAGAAAAATAAAATAAGTAAACTGAGAAGGGAAGAAGGCCTCATACATTATTGGTTTTGTCGTGCTTGAACAGGACAGCACCATTTCACCCAGCCTTATAAGAATCTTAAGAATTGCCGTAAATAAAATGAACGCTCAGAAGTGCACAAGATAAACACACCTAGGCAGGCATGTAAACCACATGTCTTAAATAGCATGGCTGGGCTGGATGAATCCCTAGCCGGAATTAAGATGGCCGGAAGAAATATCAACAACCTCAGATATGCAGATGACACAACCTGGATGGCAGAAAGTGAGGAGGAATTAAAGAACCTTTTAATGAGGGTGAAAGAGAAGAGCGCAAAATATGGTCTGAAGCTCAACATCAAAAAAATGAAGATCATGGCCACTGGTCCCATCACCTCCTGGCAAATAGAAAGGGAAGAAATGGAGGCAGTGAGAGATTTTACTTTCTTGGGCTCCATGATCACTGCAGGTGGTGACAGCAGTCATGAAATTAAAAGACGCCTGCTTCTTGGGGAAAAGCGATGACAAACCTAGACAGCATCTTAAAAAGCAGAGACATCACCTTGCCAACAAAGGCCCGTATAATTAAAGCTATGGTTTCCCCAGTAATGATGTATGGAAGTGAAGCGCTGGACCATAAAGAAGGCTGATCGTCGAAGAATTGATGCTTTTGAATTCTGGTGCTGGAGGAGACTCTTGAGAGTCCCATGGACTGCAAGAAGATCCAACCTCTCCATTCTTAAGGAAATCAGCCCTGAGTGCTCACTGGAAGGACAGATCCTGAAGCTGAGACTCCAATACTTTGGCCACCTCATGAGAAGAGAAGACTCCCTGGAAAAGACCCTGATGTTGGGAAAGATGGAGGGCACAAGGAGAAGGGGACGACAGAGGACGAGATGGTTGGACAGTGTTCTCGAAACTACCAGCATGAGTCTGACCAAACTGCGGGAGGCAGTGGAAGACAGGAGTGCCTGGCGTGCTCTGATCCATGGGATCACGAAGAGTCGGACACGACTAAATGACTAAAGAACAACAGAGCAATCCTGAATCCACATCAACTCCTAATGACCCCCAAATATTCCTCTGTAGAAGGAAATATCTTGGAAAAAGCTCCCCCAGTGGTTCTTTTCGCTTGCAAATCCTACAGAGTTAAGGTCAAATTTTGTGTATGAATATTTTGACGCTGTGGCCTGGATTCAAGGTCTAAGGCATTTACTATGTCAAAAGACTGTCCAGTAATGCAATTGGTAAAACATTATCGGGTTATCTTGGCAAGCAGCAGACAAGCCACACCAGTGGCGTTGCGTGGGTTGTCAGAACCCGGGGCAAGGCAAGTAATTTGCACCCCTAACCCGTGGATTTGCGCCCCCTAACCCTAACCCCCAGATGTTGCACCCGGTGCGGCCGGCCCCCCCTGCACCCCCCAAACTACGCCACTGAGCCACACACAAACTTCTGTTGTAGACCGCGTCTTTCTGTGATGTGTGCATGATGCTTTGGGGTGGTCTTTGGCTAAAGGAAAGGGCTGTGCAATTTCTAAAGTATTCAAAAGTTCTTGCACACCTTTGCTCAGACCCTCACCTCCTGGCAAGGGTGGCGGGAACTCTGTCGCAACAGAAAAATAAAGATCTGCCTTATTGTCACTGGATCCTGCCTCCATCCATTCTCTTCTGACCGATCATGGACTTTTAGGGGACACTGGGTAAAAGCCAACCCCAGTTTTTTCTACACCAGGAAAAGGCACTGATGGTACTGTTGCAGGAATTTATGTATAGGTTGGGCGGAGGTTGCCCCTCCAGCAGATATCATGCACATGCAGCCCACTACCAAAACCAGCACAAACACTTTTGTGAATTTTGTAATTTGTCCCCACAAAACACTTCATCACAGTTTCTTCCTATCTATTCAAAGGGCCTCTGCTGCACGATACCAAATGTAACTATTCACTGATAAATGTCTCTATGTACTGGCTCACTGGGGAAACTTCAGAAATTCATATAGACATGTGAGCTCAGCTACTCAGCAGCCTGAGTTACTCAGCAGCCCCTCTGCCTGAGTGATAATTCCTGGCATCCTGATACCTGAGTGCCAGACAGGTGGCCATTCCAGAAATAACAAACCCAGATGAAGACAAAAGGGTGTGATTAACTTGGCTGGGAAACAGGGAAATGTAAATATATCTTTTGTTACACTTGATGGGTGTTTGGTGGAGGGCAAGGGGAACCATGGGGCAGGGTCCAGGATGCTCAGATTCCTGCCACCAGACCTCCCCTTTATTGATGTAACCGTGATGTAACCGTGATGTAGTTTGGGGGGTGTAACATGGGGATTAGCAGCTAATAAAAGTTTGGGTTCTCTTTTGTTTGGGGCTTCCATCTTGTTCCACCTGGTGGCAAGTGGGAGTCCTGTCGCGACAGTCTTCAATAAAGACCAAGCCTGCTGGCTGCTATTTTGCTCTGGTATTCCTGGCTGGTGTCCTTGTTTTTTGTCCAAGGGAGCCCTCAGATTTCTCCGTTAACAGTAGATCCCTTACCCAGTTTCCCCAAACGTCAGCAATGCTGACTGAAGAGTTCTTTACCTGTGTTGGTCCCCATCATGCTCTGTTTTCTGTTCCCCACCCCACCCCACCCCTTTCCTCCTCTCTTCACAGCAAGAAAACATAGAATATCACTGGCCTTTTTGCTGCTCCAGCTACTGCCGAAGTTGACCAGTTCCTTCGATTCTTCCTCCGAAACCACCGTGATGCGCTAGTAGACAGTGTGAGTAGCCAGCAGGCCCAGTACTGGGCCTGCTGGCTAATCACTGTCCTTGCATATCACATGGCATTGTGATTGACAGCACACGGCGACAGACAGAATAGCTGCATCACCATGCAACAGGCTGGCAAGGTAATCACCTTGTAGGGAAATGGCTGCAGGTGTCGATCGTGGCTTGTGGGGACAGTGGGAGATGTGGTGGTTTGAGAAACAGGGTCACAAAAGTCGAGTTAACTGCTGAGAAAATGTTAGAAGCATAAGAGCTGGAAGGGACCCTCTCATCCAAACCCCCTGCAATGCAGGAATCTCAACTAAAGCATCCATGACAGATGGCCGTCCAACCTCTGCAGGTGACAAGGTATTGGGCACCTTGATCATTTTCCTCCTCCACTATCAGGCCTTACCTGGCACTGCTTCCCACTGTCAGGGGTCCCTGTTTGCTGTCATCACCAGCAGTCACTTGTCCATCTCTGTTCCAGATAGGAACAGATCCCAATCTCTGGCGCACGGCTGCCATCTTAGATGCCCAAACTGCATAGAGAAAGGGCATGGCATTGGGGGGAGGGATCTAAGACGGCGAGCAGGTCTGCCATGTGGGATGTGAAACACAAGAGCAGTCAAGTACAACATTCCTAGAGTGAACATGTTTACACCTGGGGAGGAATGTTTGTCCAACCAGCAGGTAACCTTCCTGTTTCCTTCTGGGCTGGGACAGGCTTGCTCTGCATGTGACTAGAGGTAGGCGTGGCCTCACCTGTGCAGGTAACGACAAAAGCACAGGGCAGGGCAGCCATCTCTCTCTCTTTTTGACTACATGCATCGAAGAAGCAACATCTGCTTAGCCAAAGATGCTCTCTTGGCTTCCAGCCAAGGGAAAACAAAGGGACTGTCTCCTTATGTGATAGTGTCCAGGTGTATGTTACTTTTCTAAACTAAGTCTGCCTACTGGGATCTGACTGTGAACAGAATGTGAGTAAACTCTTTTTATACTTTTATAAAAGACTGTGTTGTGTCTTTTATGAAGGAATAAGGGGAAAATACCAGAACAGTTATTATAAAGGCTTTAGCGAGCCTGAGCATATGCATCCGCTGCAAGTTTAAAAAAGGGGAATGTTACTCTGCTAAATTGTGAACTTGTTAACACAAGTTGGAAAAGGATATAATCAAACAATATATCCTCTCCTGCATCCCTGAACATTCCCATATGCCACAGACCGGTGTAGTGGCTCCTAAGCCTCATCGACTAGTGTCCAGATCAAGGGAAGTAATCAAGGCTCATTTCTGCCTCGATCAGTCCATACCTGGAAGACTGTGTCCAGTTCTGGGCACCACAGTTCAAGAAAGAAATTGACAAATTTGAACACGTGTAGAGGGGGGTGGTTCGGATTAGGATTTTTATCTATCCAAGCTGCTCCAGCGAGTAGTACTATGGTACTATGATTTGTATAAATCATGCGAGTGTCTGAGTGAGTGTGAGAAAGGAAGTCTGAGGACTATTGGAAGTTAGTTTTACTTCTGTGTGTGTCACAGTTCTGTACTGGTGTTCAGAGAGCACAGATGTACTGATGGAGTCTCTGTATATAAGACTGTAAATAAAGTAGTTTTAGAACTATGGTTGAGTCTTTCTTCTGCTATGATATGCCAGAAAACTGGTGTACACTTTTCAGGAGAGAAGGGTCGCTTATTACTGGTCTCTCTGGACTGAAGAAGATTTACAGCCAGAGAAGGACCACTGGAGAGACGCTCCAAAGACTTGGGAAGTTGGCAGCCTTCCTAGGGCATTTTTCCAGCAGACCAAGGGTCTGGAAACCAAACCTTATAGAGGCATGGTTGAGGAAGTTGAGGACATTCAGCCTGGAGAAGAGAGGACCGAGGTGATATGAGAGCCATCTTCAAATATCTTAAGGGCTATCACATGGAAGATGGAGCGAGCTTGTTTTCCGCTGCTCTGAAGGCCTGGACTCAATCCAATGGATTCAAGTTGCAAGAAAGGAGATTCTGACTAAATGTTAGGAAGAACTTTCTGACAGTAAGAGCTCTTCAACAGTGGAACAGTCTCCCTTGGGAGGTTGTGGACTCTCCTTCCTTGGAGGCTTCTAAGCAGAAGTTGGATGGCCATCTGTCAGGGATGCTTTCGCTGAGATACCTACTGCAAGGTGGGCAGGACTAGGTGCCCTTTCCAAATATATGGCTCTATGGTTTTAATGAAGAGAGTGCAAAATATGATCTGAAGCTCAACATCAAAAAAACTAAGATCATGGCCATTGGACCCATCACCTCCTGGCAAATAGAAGGGGAAGAAATGGAGGCAGGGAGAGATTTTACTTTCTTGGGCTGCATGATCAGTTACAGATGGTGACAGCAGCCACGAAATTAAAAGATGCCTGCTTCTTGGGAGAAAAGCAATGACAAACCTAGACAGCATCTTAAAAAGCAGAGGCATCACCTTGCCAACAAAGGTCCGTATAGTTAATGCTATGGTTTTCCCAGTAGTGATGTATGGAAGTGAGAGCTGGACCACAAAGAAGGCTGATCGCCAAAGACTCTCCTCCTGCAAGAGAGGGGAGTGGTTGTGGGCGGGAGCCAGTATCCGCCTCAAGCAGGGGGCGTTAGCCCCCTGCCTCCCACTCACCTGGCTGGTGCCCACGCCCACGGGCAGGCACCCAACCAGGTGCCTTCGAGGGGGCATGTACAGCATCCTAAATTGCTGTGGCGCCAGCCTCCTGGCCTCACTCTTTGTCGTCCCATCACGAGTCACCCACCCTCCACTCCCTTAGAGCTCAGGGTCTCATTTTCTTTTGGCCTTGCTATGGACCTTAGGTTGGTCGCCCTGGTTGTCTGGGGGGCCTGGTAGGAATTTTTCCATTTGGCATTAGGCTTTTTGGTTTTTTCGCCTACCTCATAGCAATCGTCACAACTTTCATGGTATTGGTGGGTAGGTTAGGCATTGGAATAATGTGTTGTGGTGTGTCGAAGGGCTAGGTGTGGCCATCGCCTACGCCTTCAATTTTTGGGTATTCCGTTAAAGGAATCCGGCGGTCGTGTATTCTGTCCGATGCCTGCGTGGCGGGAGGCCGTGGCACGACCCTCGGTGACATCAGGGGAGAGCTTATAGTTGGATTAGCATCAACAGGCTCCACCTACTGGTGAATAAACCCCCTTGTTTTAGACTCACCCCTCTCTGAGGGGGTGGAGTCAGCTGACGTAATCCAATGCCTAAGCCAATACCTTTCACTTGCTGTAATCAATAAAGTTGTGGCCTTTTCTTGCCCATTAACCTTATATCATGTGTCCTTGTGTTTTCATTCCACTTTGCGGGGATCGGGTCCTCGAACCACAACTGATGCTTTTGAATTCTGGTGCTGGAGGAGACTCTTGAGAGTCCCATGGACTGCAAGAAGATCAAACCTCTCCATTCTGAAGGAAATCAGCCCTGAGTGCTCACTGGAAGGACAGATCCTGAAGCTGAGGCTCCAAGACTTTGGCCACCTCATGAGAAGAGAAGACTCCCTGGAAAAGACCCTGATGTTGGGAAAGATGGAGGGCACAAGGAGAAGGGGATGATGGAGGACGAGATGGTTGGACAGTGTTCTTGAAGAGACCAACATAAGTTTGACCAAACTGCGGGAGGCAGTGGAAGACAGGAGTGCCTGGCGTGCTCTGGTCCAGGGGGTCACGAAGAGTCGGACACAACTAAACAACTACAATGGTTTTTCCTCTTCCTTTGGCACCTTTTCATGATGGAAAAAGAAGTCAGGTTTCACTCACCAAGTTAGGATGTTGTGAGTAGGTGGCTTCATGCTTCAGCTGGAACTGACTGCACATGTTCGGATGCGTGTCTCGAACTGGGAAGTTAAAAACGACGTCAAATCATTTTGACACCTGAGGAACCCCCAAATCCAATCTCGTTTCTGCTATTCACTCTTCCCACCAACCATGGGCACCTCACTTTCCCCTAGACAGTGTGATACCCAGATAGTCACTGGGTGGCAGAGTTTGCTCCTTTCCAAAGGAGAAACATGTGCCATCTTCATGTGCCACCCAGTTTACTTCCAAACAGACCCTTAGGTAGAATCAAGCACTTGTAGCAAGCAGAGGAACCAGCTACCCATCCTGCAATCTCCAGAGAGGGGCCTATTGTATTGGCCCGATTATAAGCCACACCTGAATATAAACAGCATCTTTAAAACTCGGGGGGGGGGTGTTAAGAAAAAAAGACAATTCCCAAATATAAGCCGCTCCCTTAAAATTCCACAGGCACTCACACCTGTTCCATTTTACCGTATGTCTGTTTCAGCAGCGATATCGTAAAAGCCAGTTTTTGTAAGTTCGCAAATTTCAGCCGCACTGTAACTTTTCACGGAATTTGGAAAAAAAGGGGGAGGCTTATATTCAGGCCAATACGGTAGTACCCAACAATGATTTATGCCAGTGGTTACCTAAATGGGTGGTAGTTCCTTGGGGGGGTGTTGGTAATTACCTAGGGGTGCCATCACTACATGTCTTTAGGCACCGGATGAAAAGCTTCATCTTTACCTAGGCCTATGGCTGTTCATTAATCTCTGACCTGTAAAAGTGAGGGGAGGGCTCTGTTATTATGACACTGTGGGTTAAACCACTGAGACTCTTGGGCTTGCCAATCAGAAGGTCGGCGGTTTGAATCCCTGCGACGGGATGAGTCCCCGTTGCTCGGTCCCAGTTCCTGCCAACCTAGCAGTTTGAAAGCACATCAAAGTGCAGGTAGATAAATAGGTACCGCTCCAGCGGGAAGGTAAACGGCGTTTCCGTGCGCCAGAAGCAGCTTACTCATGCTGGCCACATGACCCGGAAGCTGTATGCCGGCTCCCTTGGCCAATAAAGTGAGATGAGCGCCGCAACCCCAGAGTCGGCCACGACTGGACCTAATGGTCAGGGGTCCCTTTACAATTTACCTTTACCTATTTTATTATTAGGCTGTCTGTCAGCATCCTTTTTACGGTGGTACCTTGGGTTACATACGCTTCAGGTTACAGACGCTTCAAGTTACAGACTCTGCTAACCCAGAAATATTACCTCGGGTTAAGAACTTTGCTTCAGGATGATGGAAAGGAAGCAGAATTGGGTGCCAATTCCCACCCGCCTCAGCCAGCAGAAGTGGGATTGCCATGGCCTTGGCCCAGTATACCTGAAGGAGCGTCTCCAACCCCCATCGTTCTGCCCAGAGACTGAGGTCCAACTCTGAGGGCCTTCTGGCGGATCGCTCCCTGCGAGAAGCCAAGTGACAGGGAACCAGGCACAGGGCCTTCTCGGTGGTGGCACCCGCCCTGTGGAACGCCCTCCCACCAGATGTCAAAGAGAAGAACAACTACCAGACTTTTAGACGACATCTGAAGGCAGCCCTGTTTAGGGAAGCTTTTAATGTTTAAAAGACCAATGTATTTTAATACTTTGTTGGAAGGCGCCCAGGGTGGCTGGGGAGACTCAGCCAGATGGGTGGGGTATAAATAATATATTATTATTATTATTATTATTATTATTATTATTATTATTATTATTGGATGGAGCCGCTTCCTGTCAGGTACGGGGCTCTGTTACTTACACGTAGAGAGGGATGCCGTGGCAAGGAGAGCAGCATGGCGCCATCGCCAGATGACGTCTTCATTTGCACCATGTCGACCCACCAACTGAAACACCGCCTTAGGAACCATTTGTCCGTTAACTAGCATAATGGCCAGGGGTCAGGGGCGATGGGGTCTGTAGCCAGGGAGGGACGGATCAAGTCGATTTTGGCTGCCCCGCGCACGCCGAGGCAGAAGTGACGCTGGAGGGAATCAGTCAGTCTGAGGGCGGGGAGAAGATACTTCACCCACAGAACCAGGTTTGTGGCAATGGACAACTTGCCCCCTGGGCAACTAATTCCTGCCTAATGCAGATTAAAGGTGATGGTTGCTTGGAGGCCCTGGAATCTTAAAACACCCCACACGGTTCTGAAGATTATGACAAGGTTGCAAGCCACATTTTGTAAGGTCGGATGTCACATAAGGGCAATGGCGAGTTGAACAGTGGCTCTTTTTCTCTTTTCAAAATATTTTTATTGATTTTTACAGGAACAAATTTAAAATAATGAAAAGGAAAAAACTTTTTAAACATATCCATAAATGAGATTCTCTGAATCTCGTGACTTCCCCCCGTCCCCTGCGCGGGTCCTTAAAATAATTTTTCTAAGACTACATATCAATACGTTCTTCTCCATAGTTTTCATCTCTCTAAATTATCCATGTCTTTCATTTCTTTACAAGTTATTTTACATCTAGCAACTTCTGACTGAGGATCTGTGTGTGAGCTCAGGTGTATAGCATGGGTTATTATTATTATTATTATTATTATTATTATTATTATTTAGGGCTTTAAAGGTCAGCACCAACACTTCAAATTGTGCTCACAAACATACTGGGAGCCAGTGTAGATCTTTCAGGACTGGCGTTATATGGTCCCGACAGTCGTTCCCCAGTCCCCAGTCTAGCTGCCACATTCTGGATTAATTGCAGTTTCTGGGTCACCTTCAAAGGTAGCCCCACGTAGAGCGCATCGCAGTAGTCCAAGCGGGTGGACTACCAACAAAAATGGCGCCCTCTACAACAACATGATTCTATACAACTATTTGGATGTATCGCTACTGCTTTATGTCTGTTGTGTAGAAAGTTCTGTTAGTAAAGCTTTGAAACCATATTTATGATCTATTCTAGACCATTTCCATTCCCGGGGGGGGGGGGTCCTGTTTTTATTCATCCTACTGCTCCAAGCTGAACAATATCAACATACCCTCCAAAATTTCTCCGATGAAAATAGGAGCATCCCATTCTACACCAAGAAGCTTCTCCCGCCTTTGATCTTGCCGCACACAGGTACGCCTTTTGCACATATACGTCTGTCACCTTGAGCCAATTACAATCTCTCAGCCTAGTCTACCTCACAGGATTGTTGTAAAGGAAAAATGTGAAATTAAGATATATATTTTTCCACCTTTGCGTGTACGCTTGTTTACACTGAATCGTAGTTCCCATCCCTGCAATGCTTCCCCAAGCCTACTTCATTATTGCTGTCTCGATGGTGCGCTCTTGCACCGTGGTGCAGTGAAAGTGCGATGCACTAATGGTATAAAAAGTTAGAGGATTTCAGCTACAGGGCATGCACAAAATGAAGCCGTATGTCTGTCCTGAAACTTTTGCAGGTTCGAAAGGTACTGACTAGGTATAACTGCCCCTGTACCATCAGGAGCACAAATCACCATGCATAAAAAGGGCAGTCCTCGTCCAATTCTAAAAGTTCATCAATGCACGCATACGTCACTATATGCAAATTTTATGCAAATCTGTGCCCTCTCCGGCCATCTTTATTTTCCCTTTCGGTAAGCAGCCATTCTGTATTGGATACATGCTAATATGGTCACATATTCCGTGAAGCAGTTGGGCAGACACAACAGACTTTTCAAAAACTTCCAGCTGTTGCCAGTATGTTCAATTTCATTCTGTCCTTAACAGCAGACTGACCCTAGAGTTTCCGAGCTAACAAAGCAAAAGCCAGTGAACTATTGATTTATAGACAAGGCAAGCAGATTTCGCTGTTTTCATTGTTCCACAGCGAAAGTAAATCATTGGTTTGTGGGATTAACTGCAGATCACACCTGTCGATGGTTTCCATCCTGAGGAATTTAAAGCTTCAGAAATGAGCAACATGCCATTCTTTCCACGGCCAAATGTCCAAGAGCCAGAAGGGCTCAGTGGAAGGACAGCTGTATTGGCATGCAGAAGGTGCCATGTTCAATCCCCGACATCTATGGCTTGTAATGGAAAACACGTCCGTCTGAAACCCTAGCAGCGGTTCTCAACCTGTGGGTCCTCAGATGTTGTTGGACTACAACTCCCATCATCCCTGAGCTCTGGCCTTGCTAGCTAGGGGTGATGGGAGTTGTAGTTCAACATCTGGGGACCCACCGGTTGAGAAAGGCTGCACCTAGAATCTGCCGCTCTTGGTGTAGTCAGTACAGAGCTATGTTCTAACTCAAGAGTCCAGCATCTTCCTCTGCACAACCGAGATATTTGCTGCTTCCTTTCCTAGACTTCCTTCGGGAAATTCAGAACCGTTCCTGAAGGTGTTCCAGCAGCCTCCTACCCAGGCAGGGCCCAGACTGATCCCCCAACTTAGCTCCAGGGCCCCCAACAACATCCTCCTCGCCGCCACCACAAACTCAAAAGTCACCTGGTGTTGTGGCGGTTGGATAATGGCTGACCACAGCGGCAAAGTGGCCTCAGCTGGCTGCACAATGGAACTTCACTGCTCGCTGCAGAACTTCAGGAGGTGGAAGAGTTGAGTTATCACGTGGCCCCGTAAGCATCGTCCGTGCCGAACGCACATCAGTGAGAAAGATGCTCCATTGGGTGGAAGGTTGATGTGACTCCCTTGCCTCTGCCTCTTTCGGGGTGGCAATATTCTGGGGCAGATGTTCAAGCCAGCATTGGCAGCGACAGTTGAGGCAGTTAGCGGAAGACTCACAAGGTTCCAGGCACAGAACAGAGATCTCTTTATTTTTCAATAGCTGCGTGCGGAAGGAAGAATGTTGGCAAACATCACTTCCCGTCACGATTCCGCAAGGCCCAAGAAAAGTTGTTGCTGTGTAACAGGACGCAGTGCATATCCTCCAATGCTTCTCTGATGAAAAGAGGGGTGCCCTAGTCCATTAATTATTATTATTCCCCACCCATCTGACTGGGGAAGAAATGGAGGCAGTGAGAGATTTTACTTTCTTGGGCTCCATGATCACTGCAGATGGTGACAGCAGCCACGAAATTAAAAGACGCCTGCTCCTTGGGAGAAAGGCGATGGCAAACCTAGACAGCATCTTAAAAAGTAGAGACATCACCTTGCCAACAACGGTCCGTATAGTTCAAGCTATGGTTTTCCCAGTAGTGATGTATGGACCATAAAGAAGGCTGATCGCCAAAGAATTGATGCTTTTGAATTCTGGTGCTGGAGGAGACTCTTGAGAGTCCCATGGACTGCAAGAAGACCAAACCTCTCCATTCTGAAGGAAATCAGCCCTGAGTGCTCACTGGAAGGACAGATCCTGAAGCTGAGGCTCCAAGACTTTGGCCACTTCATGAGAAGAGAAGACTCCCTGGAAAAGACCCTGATGTTGGGAAAGATGGAGGGCACAAGGAGAAGGGAACGACAGAGGAAGAGATGGTTGGGCAGTGTTCTCGAAGCTACCAGCATGAGTCTGACCAAACTGCGGGAGGCAGTGGAAGACAGGAGTGCCTGGCGTGCTCTGGTCCAGGGGGTCACGAAGAGTTGGACACGACTAAACGACTAAACAACAAGAACAACCCATCTGACTGAGTTGCCCCAGCCACTCTGAGCAGCTTCCAACATATATAAAAACATAGATACATTTTCTTCTTTTGTATTTAACTTTTCTATACTTACCTTCGTTGTAAATGATCCTTTACGTTTGTATTTTAAACCAATAAAGATTTACCAAAACAAAACATACCGTAGATACATTCCTCTTCTTTGGCGATCACTCGCAGAGTAAGATTGTCTTCCATAAACACGGTTTTAACAATGAGTCTGTAAGTGACTGTGGAGGCCAATTCTGGATCCACACATCCTTCCACAGTGGGGACACTGGTTTCCGGGTGGGAGTTGATCACGGTGTGGATTTGCCAAGCGTGCCTTCCTCTTAGCACGTTTCTCCCTTGCGTCCTGAGTTCGAGTGCCTTCAAAGCCCATGGCACCTTTAGGAAAGGCTGTTCTCCAACTGGAGCGCTCGCAGGCCAGTGTTTCCCAGTTGTCAGTGTTTATACTACATTTTTTTAGATTTGCCTTGAGACAGTCTTTAAACCTCTTTTGTTGACCACCAACAATACGATTTCCATTTTTAAGTTCGGAAGAGAGCAGTTGCTTTGGAAGACGATCATCAGGCATCCGCACAACATGACCAGTCCATTGAAACTTGATGTTGAAGAATCATTGCTTCAACACTGGTGATCTTTGCTTCTTCCAGTACACTGATATTAGTTCACCTGTCTTCCCAAGTGATGTGTAAAATTTTTCAGTGTCTTTCTGGAGACACCGGAAATTTTTTCGGTGTCTTTCTGGAGACACCGTTAATGGAATATTTCGAGGAGTTGGAGATGGCGTTTATAAGTGGTCCATGTTTCACAGGCATATAGTAAGGTTGGTAGTACAAGGTGACGATCCAGCGAGTGGGATATAAAAACATAATAAAACATTAAACAACTTCCCTAACCTTCAGATGTCTTCTAAAGGTTGTATAGTTACTTATCTCCTTGTTTCAAGGTTCACATAACTCCATACCCTCCAACATTTCTCTGATGAAAATAGGAGCATCTTAAGGGAAAGCGGGGCATTCCTAGATCAGAAACTGGGACAGCTTCTGTAAATCTGGGACTGACCCTGGAAAATAAGGACACTTGGAGGGTTTGGCAATGGTAGTCAACAACCTGAAGGGCTTTAAAAAACGAATTAATATACTTGAAGGTAAAGGAATGTGGGTGGTGCTGTGGGTTAAACCACAGAGCCTAGGACTTGCCAATCAGAAGGTCAGCGGTTTGAATCCCCGCGACGGGGTGAGCTCCTGTTGCTCGGTCCCTGCTCCTGCCAACCTAGCAGTTCGAAAGCACATCAACGTGCAAGTAGATAAATAGGTACCACTCCAGCAGGAAGGTAAACGGCGTTTCTGTGCGCTGCTCTGGTTCGCCAGAAACGGCTTAGTCCTGCTGGCCACAT